TATGTACGCAGCAGTCTTCGTTGGGAGACCTCCCCACCACAACCTGGTGCATCACGCGGGTCGATCCGGATTAGTTGGGGCCTGGATACCAGACGGAAAAAAAAAAAAAAAAAAAAATCGAGTTGATTATGGTTCGTTAAATCGAAATAAAACAAAAAAAAATTAGGTGAAAGCAATACTTTTCTTCTGAAGCACTTGGTAATAAAAGTCTAGGGAAAGCAGCTCGGATTTGAATTGAGGCATAAGTACCCCAATATAAATAAGGTTCATTTCTGCAGATCTAGATCAAACCTAAGCTGTCAACAATGAGCTAAGCATATTCTCTATTTCTTTTCTCTTTCTTCTCTTCCAAAGTTTCATATTCTTCAAGGCACCTACGAAGCAACACCCTTTATTCTAGTTGTCTATGATTATACATCTCCTTTCTCTGGAGATTGAACAAGATGGACATGAGCAGTATCAGTTTTTTTCGACGCAAGAAGGGAGTTTTAGATCTCAGTCGCAGTGGTTCAGATTTAGGCCCAAAAAGCAGACAACTTGATGTAGATTATACAGAAAAGTTAAAAGGAACAACATCTTCTTCCGATGTTAGTGCCACTACTAACGGTCTACGCAAGCTTTCAATTCTGCAGAGGAAGAAATCTGCAAAGCAGAAATATGGATTCATCCCTGATAATTTCTCATCCCTTGACCAGGTCTCTCTTCCCTTTTCTTCCTTAATTTTTTTTTTTATTATCTTTCCTTGACCTTGTTTACCATAATTAGACTCGGTTAATTCTTGCAATCTTAATGCTTTTTCAAGATTCAGAGGATGGTATACCATCTTCATCTTCTTGTCGGCCATTTTTTTTTTATGATTATTTTTTTTGGGGTGATCTTGACTTGAGGGGAGACCCACAAGGGGATATTATTGTAGACAAATTGTACAGCTGTGCTGTGTTGTCTTGATGTAACCTAACCATGGATATTTCGTCAATAATTTATTATCTTGAAAATATCTAAAATATTAATTAAAATGAATAAAAATATATAAAATATTAATTAAAAATAAAAAATTTACTTTTCTTTTTTCTTTTTTTGATAAGGTCGTGTATGGGAAAGGTTTTGTGAGAAAAATTGTAAATCCAAACCTCAATTAATCTCCAAGATTGACTTGACTTGTAGCTGTAGAGTGGTAGATTTATCAAGTGTAGAGGTGCAGAATGACAAGTGAAATCATTTAACATATCCGCATCTTCTCTAAATGCCATTAAAGATTCTGCAGTTGTGGGACAGGGTGACTTGGTATCCAAAGTCAATAGGAACCAAGAGGGGCTCAAACTCATAGCTTGGAACAACTTGAGCTTATAGTTGGTTTCCACCAAACTTTCCAGATGAACAGTTTCTCTGAGTAGCCCTGAAGATAAGTTATAAGTGCTTAACCAATTATAAGAAGACATAGGGAGAAGACATAGAGCCCACCCCAACAAATAATATCCTTGAGTTGAGAAAGCTAATTAGTGGAGCTTTAGAAAAATTGCACCTCAAGGTGGCCCCCTAAAGTAGGAGTGCGTGCTTTTTAATGCTTTACTTTGATGCTGGTGACAATGTATTCATTAAGCTAAATTATGATGTTCACCAGACCCACCTACACAACTTTATGTGGTGGACTTTGTCCTACCTTCAATAATTTAGGAGGAGGTTAGACCTTTAACTTTTGGAAATAGAAGTCATGAATTGGTGTGAATACTAAGCAACTACTAAATACGGTTCCCAGTTGTTGGGTTCTTGAATTTCTTACCATGCTCTCCCCTTTTACAGGTTACAAAAGCCTTGAGAGATGCTGGTTTAGAGTCTTCTAATCTCATCGTTGGAATTGACTTCACCAAAAGCAATGAGTGGTCAGGTATTCTTAAGTTGAGAAAATAAATTCATTCACCAAGTGTGCCTAAAGTTTTCCCCATTTCTTCATATCAAAACTATTGCATGAAATTATCAATGTGCCACTTCGTTTTCTGGGTTAATTGTGTTGGTTTTTTTTCAAATGAAGAAATGGAGAGAATCTGAAAGAAGATGAAGAGCAGAACATAAACTAAAATGGAGAGGAGTATAACACTCCAACTCAGATTTCTCATTAACAAACTCTGCTTTATATAGCAGAAAATAATCTAAAAACAATTCAAAAAGTTTCTTATTTTGTCTAAGTAACTTTTCTACATTAAAAAGCAACAATAAAAAGTACATCTAAAACAAGTAAAAGAGAACCACTTTAGCTGCTTGCTTGCTGTGATTTTGCAGCCACTTTGCACCCTTTCATTTCATTTGCCGTTCATTGCAGCTTCACTTCATCTACATTTGCAGCTTAGCTTGCTGCACATTTTTGCTGTCATTTAACAGCTGAATTGCTGCCATATTTGCGGCTAAATTGCTGCCATATTTGCTGTCAAATTGCAGCTTCATTTGCTGTCAATTTGCAGCCTCATTGCTGCCATTTCATGGCAGTTTCATTTCATCATTTTGTAGGTTTGAATGCCAAATTTCTAACAATAATTCCAACATTAATTATGTTTTTCACCTTTCCTTCTGTTTCACCATTATGCTTTTTCAATAAAGTTTCCAAAACATCATTCAATCCTGGGATAACACAGTGATTCAACAGCTAGTTGCAAATTTTTGAAATTGTGCATTTGTTTGGTACTTCTCGGAACCTAATGCATCAATGTTATTATTGAAGGCAAGGTTTCGTTCAATAGTCGAAGTCTACATGCAATTGGAGATACAGAAAATCCATATGAGAAGGCCATCTCTGTAATTGGAAAGACTTTGGCCCCCTTTGATGATGACAACTTAATTCCATGTTTCGGCTTTGGTGATTGTATGACATTTTCACGAGTTTAGATAATCTGATTACAATGTTACATTTAGATAATCTGATTACAATGTTACATTTTTCTAATCACATGATTAATCTTTCTGTTATAGCTACCACTCATGATCAAAAAGTGTTTAGTTTTCACGATGATAACTCTCCTTGCCATGGTTTTGAGGAAGTCTTGGATTGCTACAAAAAGATTGTCCCAAACCTACGACTTTCTGGTTAGCATTTTCTTCTGTGGATTCATTTTGCCAATCTGTTTCTCCGACTGACACTATATTTACATCATCTTATTATACTACTGGTCTCCATTTTATTGCAAAAGTGAAAAGATTCAAAGATAAACGTTATTGTGATGTAGGGCCGACTTCTTATGGACCAGTAATTGATGCTGCAGTAGACATTGTAGAAAACAGTGGTGGCCAATTCCATGTATTGGTTATTATTGCAGATGGCCAGGTGAATTTCTATCCCTCAGTTTCTCTTCCTTGTTTCTGTGTATATTTGCCTCTACATTATGTTGTTACTGCAGTTTTCAATTTTGTTTTCTCTTTTCGGCAAATCATGAAGGTCACAAGAAGTGTCAATACAGACGATGAAGAATTGAGTTCACAAGAAGCGAGAACAATAAACTCAATCGTCGATGCAAGGTGTGGTCTTCTAGATGAATTTTGACTTTTTTGCTTCCACTTACATACTTATATCATCTGATATTAAGTAGTAAACTAGAGTTTTTTCTATCCAGTTCACATGCACTGTCAATTGTTCTTGTTGGTGTTGGTGATGGACCTTGGGAAGACATGAAGAAATTTGATGATAAGATTCCTTCTCGTGACTTTGACAACTTTCAGGTGCTACTCTAGTATTCCTACAATTAAGGAACGGCCTAGGCTGAAGCCCCTACTAGCCAAACAACCTAACAACTCTTTGGACTGAGACTCAAAACCTCAAGCTCGAGTTGTTGTTAATAATTATTGGCCTTCACACTTATATACCACTCACTTCTACACACTTGTTTTCCAATTGCATGCAGTTTGTTAACTTCACAGATATCATGTCCAAGAATAAAAGTCCATCAGAGAAAGAAACCGACTTTGCTCTTGCTGCCCTAATGGAGATCCCCCTTCAGTACAAAGCAACCATTGAACTTGGTATACTTGGGTAGGTTTATTAAAACTTTCAAACCTCCGAGTGACCCTAGCTGACTCTGACTGAACTAGTGACGCTATGAGATTGAAATGGTTTATTCATGCCCACTACTTTTTGTAGACATAAAACTGGAAGGACAAGGAAAATGGTTCCATGCCCTCCTCCATTGCCCTACAATTCAAGACCCCGTGGACTAGACCGCGAACCCAGCAACATCTCATCACCCACCGTAGATGATCCTACCCAGGTATGATCGACCTTTCGCAACTTCATTTTTCATTTTATACGCATATCTTAGTAACCCTTTTCTGAGCGCTGATTTGCTCCCCTAACGACTATTTTCTCTTCAATTTTGCAATTCCATTGCAGGCATGCCCAATCTGTCTAACAAGGGCTAGGAACGTGGCCTTCGGATGTGGACACATGGTGAGTTGTACTCCATATATTCTAGTGTTTTTCTTGCTTCACCTATTAGTATCCAGTGCTATAGTTTTGGCTAATAACTACCCTTTTGGTTACAGACTTGCGGCGAATGTGGATCGAAAGTATCCGACTGTCCGATTTGCCGCCAGAGGATCACCAGCCGTCTGAGGCTGTTTGCTTGACGACTTTGTGTAGGTTGGTTGAATTAGGCATGGTAGTGTTTACCACGTTTGTGTTTGTATATATATATATATATATGTGTGTGTGTGTTTTGTCTTTTTTTTTTTTTTTTTTTTTTATGATGCATACGTCATCTGTCATGCGTCCCTATGTTTTTATGTAACTTTTATTTTCCATGTAACTTTATTTTCCCTGGAGATCTGTAAACTACTTTTCTCTTGAATAGGGCAAAAACAATTTCAGGAGCAGAAATAAACAATAGTATATGGTTTTGCATTAGCATATAATGTGGAATAATCATCAACTCCCAGCAAATTGAAGGATGAACATTTCATAACAGTAGAGAAGAAGAAAAAGAAACAATATTAAGCAGTTAGAGCGTGGATACCAGAAATGTTCGAAAGGACTTGCCTATATGAGCTCTGGACTGTTGTGTTCAAGCAAAACACAGACGACAATACGTAGCATTTTGAATTGGAAACTTTCCTCCTCATCCAGAGAAAAATATTCATGTCTTATAAGACTTCTGGCTGCCGATGTGAATTTCGTAAGCCTTGTTGGTCTTCTGTTGAGTATCAACTTTGCTGTTGTTTTGCTTTCAAATAGGTTGAATTCTCTGGTAAAGTTTCCTCGTCAATGTTTCTCCCCTCACAGCAGCCACGTATAAATCATTTGTGTCCTCTTTTCGCTGCAGCTCCCCAAGGTATTCAGCCAGTCTTTCTTGGTTTACTCGTCAAATCACCTGATAAGCAAATTCAATAAGCAACAATTCAATTTATTTTACATATTTGGGGAGACGAATGCTTTGAAGAAATAAACCCCATAAGAGAAGGCTTATGCAAAGGCCCCACCTTAGCACGTTTGCAAGTCTGCAAGTTAATGGAAATTCCTTGTCCATTACAGTAAACGCCTTAATTTGTGAAAAAAACAAATTGAAATATCAATTAAAAGTTTAAAACAGGATCACTAAAATCAACAGTTTGAAATTTAACAAAGTTTAATAAAAATTCAAATAACATGACTAACAGAAAGCAAAGCCACAAACATTTTTTGTTGGCAAAAATGAACATGCCAAACCTTATTCAAAGCAAACATGGAAAAAGAAGATATCTTTGATATCTTCAATGATCGCTAGGAAGAACAATCCTCATGAATTCAAACGTTTCTATTCCTCTTTCTCCAGTGGCATCCGAGTATTGCTCTTGAGTCATCAAGACTTTTAAGATGTAAATAAGCAGTACCGACCAATTCTAAATCTTCCATTCCACTTTAAGAGCTTAGGCTGCAATATGAATGGGTTCTTGAAAGGCTAACTGTATTCTGCTCAATCTCCTTGATTTTTTTTCCCACTTCTATACCTTTTGAACTTGTATAAAGACATTCTTGGACAAAACTTAAGAGACATTATAAGCTCAAAATCATCTTCATAATTACCAAAACTCTCTAAAATTATCTCATTTCAAGAGATCAGGTGATCAATGTTGTTGATTGAGTCGAAAAGATTATCTTCTGGAATGGAAGAATGTCCATTTTTAAAAAGAAAAATCTTTAAAGGTTTCAAATTATTCTCTTGTAGCTCAATCATTTCCATATAGAATCATCACTTGTAGATCAATCATTTCGACATAGAATCACTATTTTACACTCATATTCTAACTTCTATTATAAAAATAATAACAAATTATAAGCTAATCCTAAAGTTGCAGACTAGATGACTAAACTTGTTCCAAATTATAACAAAATGATGATTTTATATGAAAATGATCAAGCTACGAAAGAACAATATAAAACCACAAAACATTTTAAGAAAAATACAATAGATGATTGTTTTGACTCAATCGACAACACTGACAACATTGATTGCTTGGTCTCTCAAAATGAGCTAATTCTTAAGAGTTTTGGTAATCACAATGATTTTGAAACTATGATGTCTCCTAAGTTCCATCCAAGGACTTCTTCAAAAATTCCAACAAGATCAAAAGGTAACAAAGTGAAAAAAAGTAAGGAAGATTGACCAAAATACAGCTTCTGTCAAGAAGCTATTCATATTGTTACCAAAGCTCTAAGAGAAGAATCTCAACTGCTTCCGAGTCCAGAGAGAGAAGTATGGAAATTATAGGAAGATTTAGGACCTAGTTCTAACTTCTAATCTGATCACCATTGCTTTTTTACATCTTAAAAATCCTAATGACTTAAGATCTATACTATCTATAGCTTATACCCACAAGATAAATGTTCAGAGCTATCATGAGGATTGTTTTTGGTGGTGATATCCAAGATATTGAAGATATTATCTTTTTTCCAATTTCCAAGTTTGATTTGAATAAGGTTTGACTCATTATTGTCCATCCAAACAGACACTTAGGGTTCTGCCCAATATTAACTTGGCAAAACAAGTACAGACTTCAAAAGATGAAAAACAAGATGGTAAAAATATATTTATGCCCCTTATGGTCTCCTAAAATCGAAGAAAAGATACGCAGATCAAATGGATCCTTAAAAGCTAAATTAAAATTTTGTCAAAGAATAAAAATGATTGCTTTGCTCAACTAAACTAGTCAACAATGTAAAACATTAAACTTTTCAATTGGATCAAATTCATAACATAAACCCATAATAGATACGTCCATTGTCATCAAATCTAAGGCCAAATGATCAGATTCATCAATGATAAAAGATTGAACAGACGTCAATTGTAAAATCATGAAAACATAAGTAATCAGGAAATATCAAACAAATAAAACAAAACGTACGAAAATTCATATGTGATAAAAGATTCAACCTTTATAACATGTTCAAAATTCTAGAAACCAGGAATCTAATTATCAAATACCCATCAATTGAAACAAAATTTTAGATCCATTTACTCATAAAAAATTCAATCTTTGTAACATGATTAAGGTTGTATTAATTAGGCATCTAAATTATCAAATACCCATTAGATGGAAACAGAGGTTAGGATAGGACCTTAATATGGATGTGGATCCTTACGAGAGAGTCGGGGCGGGCGTTCTGGCGGAGTTGAGCCTCGAGTTGCTAATTGCGGGAGTTGGTGAGCTGCACAACACCGTAGCCAACAGCTCCGGGAACGAAGCCGCAGAGGGTGGCGAAGGTGAGGAAGAACGGGTTTGAATCCCTCGTCTTCCTCACAATCCACCCCCACGTCTCGCTTTTCTCCCATAGAATCGACATCGTTTGTCCCTGATTCTCACCGTCCGGTCTGGTGCAGAAGATATTGATGGAAGTCCGCTCTTCTACAGTGTTCCCCTGGACTAGTAGGCTCAGAGACGTCCATCCCTCGTATAAAAGTCAGTATTTTACGATCTAGAAGCATTCGAATCGTAAAACGTCAATATTTTGGACTCTAAAATACTCTGAATTGTAAAATAGTTTTAATTGGGTTTGGGTTATTCCATATTTTCAAGGGTGTTGGAATTTGCAATTTCAAGAACTAGAAAATTGTGATGTCCAATCCATTTCACTTTCCCAATTTCAGGAATATCAAAGCCCAACCGGTACACCAGTACTAGACATTGAAAGTGTGTGGGTCGAATTGCATTGAAATTGAGTCCATGGGTTTAGAGTTGGATTGAATGATAACGGGTCATAAGTTTAAAAAGTCATTTGTAGCTATTTCTAGACTATGAAAATAGACCATGAAAATAATGAGTCTTCCATAAGCCTTCCTAAGTTAGTGGTTAGAGATATTTAATATTTAAATAATAATAAAAATTTGAGTCATAATATTAGTATATTAAAATTTTTTATTTCTCTACCTTTAAATTGTATTTATTTAAAAAAGAAAATGATAGAATTTTAATATTATTTAATATTATAAATTTATAAAATAATGATATAGTTAATTAAATACAAAAACTGCTTTGGCCAAAAAAAGTACAAAATCTATTTTATACCGTACTAGATACAAGCAATTTTGTATTATTAACGATGTGATTTAGTAATAAAATTGACTATAATTCAGTCTCTTTTATCACAAAGATAGAATTTAACCCATAATGCCTTCGTACAAAAAAGAATAAAAGTTTTCTTCCGCTCTTTTTACTCACCATGCTAGGCAACCATTTGCTAACAGTAACCAAAAAGGCCATCAAAACATAATCATTCTATCATAGAAAGATTAGTCAAATTTGAGATAATAAGATGCGCTAAAATCATTCAATTAATCAAAATTTTTTTAAAAAAATTAACAATAAAGGACAACATTTTAAGACATATCACGCCGCAGGGGGAGTTTGATATTGACAGATGTGGGGGTTGCATGGAAGAAAGAATCTGAACATTTTGTCTTTTGTATGCACAAACTAAAGTGGCAGCCGAAATTTTGGAATCTAATGCTTCTTTTTAGCCTTCACTCTACAAATCCACCATCAGCGAACACTCTCCTTTATTTGCTTTATCAAAAACCCTAAGATCGTGTGAAAGTTTGAACGTCTTTAGTTGGGTTCGGTAGATAAAATAAAAACCCAAAGCAAACCCATGTGAGATATAGTGCTGGAAATTAATGACAAAAGAGGAAACTCAATGTGTTGAGTCATGTTAGGCTTCTTTTTTTGTCCTTTGGAGTGTCTGCCCCTAGTATTTAGCTTCTCCTTGGCATAAAGAAAGAGCAGTTTGGGAATATCTTTATGCAAATTAAAAGCTATCTTCTTCTGAATTCACAATCCAAAATGAGATTGAATATATTGTGAGATGAATATTGTTAAGGACGGTTAGGTAAAGACAGCACACACGTAAAGTGCTTCAACACATGTCATATTTGCTCTGACGTTCTTTAACAACATGCACAGCCAATGTCTGTAGAGATGAGAGACAGTAATTAACTTATACATGAATGCTGTTTGTTACTTATACATCAATATACATTATCTGCAACAAGAACTAGCTAGGGGTGCTATATAGTAATCAGGAAAGTGGGATGAATTGAACTTGTGAATTTGCTTTTCTACAAACTGAGGTTAATTATGTTTGGAATTGTTATGTAACTGGTTACGAAAGTTATTGCATTGTGCCATCCTAAACTATATCATTGTTTGAAAAATACTTTTAAAGAATGTTATACATCTATATAAATATGATTAAAGTATACAAAATATTAATAAAATCAATTTAAATACACCAGCATTTGGTTTAATCATCTCACAATAATGAAAATTATGTCGTTACAATGTTCTTTACTTGCATTAACATAAACTTTAATTTTTTATATGATTTTTTTATTTTAGTTTTTGCTATTTACATTTACATGCTTTAATTTCTTTTAAGAGAATGTATTCTGGCGTCAAAGGATTAGAGAGATTATTAACTATTTATTAATTCAAGTGAAAAAAACTTAATTTTTTAAAATTTTAAATTTGAATTTGTAAATAAAAAATAAATGTTGAGAGAACTTTTCATTTTATAAAATTTAACTTAATTTAATTTAATTTTAAATTAATTGAAATTAAATATAATTTCTAAATACTAATAAGAGTTAGTAAAAAAAAAAGATTAGACTAGTCAAAGTTTTTGCGTGTTGTAATGATTGAAGTGATGAGAAGATTTTCGCGGGTATGAAAATGATATTTTATGGAAAGGAAATAGATTAAAGAAGAAAGAACAGCTATAGCCTTAGGCTCTAGAGAACCCAGAAAAGAGAAAACACAGAGGAAAGAAAAAGTGGGGTTGGAATTTGATTTGGAAGGCAGGAAAATCGGGAGAAAAACTAAAGGGAAAAAAAGTAGTATGAAAAAGAAAAAGCAAGGGAGTGTGGCAGTGTGCCAGGTAGATCTGTTAAGCTGATGAAGGTGGGCCCATGGGCCCCCAACAAACTGTTGAATGATAAAAATGTTCTTTTTTACCCTTTGACATCCAAGTTATGGGCCCTTATCCATGTTTAATGCCCCCCCATATCTGTCAGTTTCCTGAGAAAATTTCAGTTTTTCTTTCCAGAAAATTTAGGAATCAAAATATGTTTACCTTGCAAGGCAGACGCCAATTTGGACTTGATCCTGCTTCGGGAAAGACTAAAGATTTCTACAGAGATTTGAAGAGAATCAGGGGCTTCAAAGACCTCCCCTTTTTAGTCACAAGACAACATCAACCTGTACTTTGTTCTTCTTCAGCGCTTCCTTTTTACCTCATAATTAACGGATATGATAATTCTCTTGTTTCATAAATTCCTCCCCACATGTTTAAAAACTTGAACTTTGAAATCTCAATTTTAGAGCAAAAACTTCATTAAGAAAAATTTTATCCCTTGTCAATTAAGTTATGTATATAGCTTCATCGATCATGTATGGGGGCATAATATGTTTTAATTAATATAAATCATGTTAGTATAAACATCGTGGATCTTTAATTGGATTACAATAAGTATTAGGAAATAATTGAACAGAATGGTCCCTGACCCTAATCCTACTGTTGGAATGTACGTATCAAAGAATCATCGATCTAAGGAGGCACACGATATAAGCCACCGTCATGGACAAGTAGAACGTAATGATTGTATCGTATGTATTACTAAAAGTACAATTACATATAACACAATATTTTAGTTGTATGAAGGAATATTGCACGGCATCTTCTTTTCTATATTAATCATTCCTTCGATCTTCATATATACCATTTTTTGTTCCAATGCTTCGTATGTTCCTTAATTAATCGCAATACTTTTAATATTCAATCTCTTTCCTTGAATTTTATAGTATTCTAATGAATATATATTACGATTATGAGTTGCCTAGAATTCTTTCTATATATATAGTTTGTAATTTTTGTTGGTATTAACTTCGTAATATACAAAAATCACATTAAATCTCGATTAATATGAAATTGAATTATGTTTGACTTTATAAGTGAAAAACTTTCTTAGTATCAATTTCTCTATTTATAAGACTCGAACTTAAAATCTTGATTAAAAAGAACCGAATTCTTTTTATTTAGACTATCAAATTAATTATTGGTATATAATTTGCAATTTAGATAGCTCTTATATAATGCAAAATATAAGAAAAAATTATTGAAGATGTTGTAACTTAATTAGTAAGAAAGTTTATTTTTTATTTTGTTGGTTAAGATTCAATTTTTTTTTTAAAAAAAACTTAATTTTGGTATGAATAATTTACTTTTAATTAAATTAAAAAAAATTAATCTTAAAATCTTTATTTATGCAACCAAAAAAAAAAAAAAAAGAAAAAGAAAACGATGTTTGCTGCCAGGGTCTAGTAATATTATTGCGTGTTGTAGGGTATGGACGGTTGATGGGCCACGCAGCCTTTTAAATCCTCTGAATTTTGTTAGTTTTTAAGCAGACAAAAGCAGGGAAGCTTCTTATCCTCCCTACGGGTTTTCACACAAATCCTCACACATAGAATCTTCAAAAGCACATCATCTTAATTTTAATCCTTAATTCTTTCCTTAATTACAATCCCTACCCTAATCTTTCATCACAAGCTACCCATACAAATGTCAGATGTGTAATATGTGGACATCTCAGGGGGGCTTTATGTTCTGTCTGAGGCCCAACCAGTTGCCTATATAGTTCCATATTGCGCAAGCCAATTTGATACATGTTCTGTTCCATTACTTTGTTCTTCAATTACATCCTTCTCTTTCTTTCTGGTTTCGAACTTCATAATGGCCCCTATGAGTCTCCCTCCTGGATTCAGGTTCCATCCCACAGATGAAGAACTTGTTGCTTATTATCTTGATCGGAAAATCTCGGGTTGTCCCATTGAGCTTGATGTCATCCCGGAGGTGGATTTGTACAAATGCGAGCCCTGGGATTTACCAGGTATATATGTCTTTTATTTTAGAATTAAGGTTTTGAAATTAATTAGATAATACTAACTCGACTAAACTGTGTTTTTCTTCGACAGAAAAGTCATTTTTGCCAAGCAAGGATATGGAGTGGTACTTTTACAGTCCGAGGGACAAGAAGTACCCTAACGGATCAAGGACTAACCGCGCAACGCAAGCCGGTTACTGGAAAGCCACCGGGAAAGACAGATCTGTGCACACTCAGAAGAAGGCAGTTGGGATGAAGAAGACATTGGTTTATTACAGAGGGAGGGCTCCCCATGGCATCAGAACCAACTGGGTCATGCATGAGTATCGCCTCCTCGACTCAGTCTGCGGCACACCATCATCAACTCTAAAGGTATGCAAGAAAACCCGTTGAATTAATGGAAATTTATAATTTAATTTCCTTTTTTCATTTGTTTTAACAAAATTACAGCTTTAACAAACCCTAAAAGCCACGAAGAAAAATTCATGCATTACCTTTACGTTATTCCCCAATCTATTTTTATGTATCTTCTATTCTTTACTGTCATGATCGTTTACAGATATTTTTTGGAAAGAGAGGCTAAACCAAAATGTTGATTCTAAAGACTCTTTGGTTTAATGCTTTAGGGTTTACTCTGTTATCCTTTTTCCTCTTTCTAATATTCCTTCGAGATATTTCATGACAATAATGATATTTTTCGCAACAGGATACTTACGCATTATGTCGTATCTTCAAGAAAACAATGCAAATTCCCAAGGCAAAAGAAGAAAAAATACAGAAGAATATTGTTAGGGATCATCAGATAAGGGAGGACACAACAGGAACTGAGGTTTCTAGAAAGATGAAAGCAGAAGATGAGATTAATTTCAACAATGAGTGCTCTAAAGTCCCTTCGGACACTTCCTCTTCGGATATCACAACTGGTGTGGCAGATGATATCCAGCCTGATCCATTCACATCTGACGAAGCAAATAGCTCAGCTAACATCATGTATTCCCTTGGAGTGGACATGGATTTCTCATCAAATCTAATTCAGGTAATTGCACTTGCTAAGTTACTAGATTTGATTTGTTATTAATTAAATTAGTAATATTGGTATAGGCCACACTTGGGATTCATATAATAATCTGTTCTTTAGGGTTTATGGCATCTTTTGATTTGTTGGAGACATGATTATCTCCTTTGCCAAGACTACATTTTACACAGCAGCAATATTCTTCTGCTTTATCAAATTACAAAGCTTCAAAAATATCACACACATAGAAGTGGAAATGTAAGTAGTGGAACCCACAAATCAAAGTCTTTAATGAGTTGGCTTTTCGTCTTAAAGTGACAAAAGTCACGAACTCCCCCATCTCTTTTCTTAAAGCTATATCTTGCTATTCTCATGAAATATCTTTGGCTTTTCTCACCATCTCCCATGACTTCTTTTGACTAACTCAATTCATGCATCTTTCTCTCTATATTTTCCTCAATATCTTTCTCTTTTCTTCTCAATCTACTAGCTAGAACTATCAACGACACTATTCCATAGTCGGCCGGATAAACAAAGGCATAGTATATGGGCAACAAAGGAATTTGAAATTAAAATAAAATGAGAATTTTAGTGTTTTTTGTTTTGAACCGTATAAAAAAGTACAATTTAAACTATGAAAATATTAAAATATTTTTCATGAATCTTATTGATAACTAAGGATATTTAAATATTTTTTTATAGTGAAATCATTTTTGAAACAAAATTATCTCTTGTTATATATATGGCAAATGGGAAAAATAATTTTAAAAATCTTAAATTTTTTATGCTATTATAAGTGAAGGATTTTTATTTTATTTTTTCTCATTATAAATGCAGGATAGCTATGCAAGTATGGTTGATCGGTATCAATGTCAATATCCACCATTAGAACTTGAGGACTTCCCACACATTAATATACTGGAGACCACGGTGTCAAAAGCAGAAAGTATTGATGATTACATGATCTACGAGAAGTATAGATCATCAGATTGCATCAACGGAACGTCAATAGAAGAGATTTTCTCTCTGTGTTCTTCCTCTCAGGACAACTGCTTGCCATCGCCACACTACTAAGTACCAACTACTACAGAGATGACTTACCTACATTATACTTTCTTTTTTTTTTTAAGTTTTATTTTGATTCTACTTTCCTTTTTTCCTTTTGGGGTAGGGAGAGGAGTGTTTAGGCAAAATGAGAATTATTTTGCCAATGACAAAATGATAAGGGTGTTTGGATTCATGGAATTATGGACAAGCCAAGGGGCAAGCCATAATTCTTGACCTTGTGTTTTCCTTTCGTTTCATTTTTTATGGTGTTGGAAGGGAATTTTTTTCCCTTTTCTTTGCCATTTGGGATATTGTAGTCCTCGTACCCGGGTCAATTTTTGAAAGAGAAATGGATAAGTTATATTATATATCGTTCGATTCCTTAGTTATTTTCATTTTATATTTCATCAGCTAATTTGTGAGTTTACACTTGCATTGTACATATGCTTTATTGTTTGTTTGAATAAGAAATTATATGCCAACAAGGTTTTTTTTTTTTTTTTTAACAGCAAAAAATAATGTTTATTAATAAATGGAGTACAAGGAGTACTCCAAATCAATAAATATCATAATTTGAAAGGCATCATATTATATGAGTAGGATAGCCTTTCGTATGGTGTCGACACCTGAATTATGTGTCAGCACCACGTCTATGTCGGAGTTTTGTATGCTTATCATATGGTGTCGACCCCTGAATTATATGTCAGCACTCCGTCCGTGTCCGAGTTTTGAATGCTTGCCCTATGGTGTCGACACCAAAATTATGTGACGATACTATACCCACGTCGAATTTATGTCCTTTTTTGCAGTTTCATCATATATCACTATCCTGATCCTCAAAAACTTCCCACTTGTCAAACCCAGGTTGCTTTGTCCACCCAAAAACTTCCCACTTGTGGGATTATGTATCCAATCTCTTTTATCCTTAAGGCTTAAGATTGGTTCTAGCATCCAATCGTGCAAGCTGAAGGAATATCCCGTAGTCCTGCCCTTAATCCAAATGAAAGCTCTTAGTTGTACAAGCTCAAAAATTTCTATCTGCATCATATTCATGGTTTCTAAAACTTTTAGCATTCCTTGCCATCCACAATGACCATATAGTGGAGAACCATATCACGTCCCAGCCAGCTCTCATTGCAGGATCTTTAGCAGGGGGCTTGTGTTGTTCAAAACCCTCATGGCAAGTCTTCAGCTGAACTGAAATGAACCTCCACCATTGTGCACATTTGCTCTTTATCAAAAAAGCAACTCTGCAGTGGAGGAAAAGATGATTGGCATCTTCGATGTTATCCCCACAAAACCCACACATCAATTGATTAGGATCGGTTATAATTCCCCTCTTATAAAGATTAAGCTTCGTAGGGATTCTGTCTTGCAATACTTGCCACCCAAATGCACTGATTTTTGTGGGGATAAGTTTGCTCCAAGTCCTTTCATGCATCCGAGATCTATTGTCCTGGTTGTTACTAGAAAGCAAGGCATATGCTGTTTTGACAGAATACTCTCCTTCTTTAGTGTGCCTCCAATTCCAGCAATCTTTTTGATCTTTGGTTGGGTGTGTGTTCATGATTAATCTTTGCAACTCTGATAAATTGTCTTCTTCCCACTCATACAAAGATCGTCTCCAATGTAATGTCCATTGCCAGTTTTTTCCTCTCCATATACCCATTTGGGAGATCCTCTTTTCTTTGTCTGTTGAAACAAGAAACAATCTAGGAAATCCGTTAGCAAGGGGTTGATCCCCTATCCATGCATCCTTCCAAAAGTTGATAGAATTCCCCTCACCTACTTTCAATTTAAATCCCCCTGATATCCATCCCTCATTTTTAATATCAATGTGGTCTAACCTACATATGTTCCTTCACCATAAAGATCCCTTATGGCCCGACTCCTGCATCCAATCAATCCACCTACCCTCTGCACACCCATATTTATGATTAATAAATCTATACAAAAAGCCTTCTTCCCCACTAGCCAGTTTACTCCACCACTTTCCCAACAATGCTAGATTGAATTTTCTAAGGTCTTTGACCCCTAATCCACCTTGCATTTTGCTTTTACACATATTGTCCCATGAAACCTAGTTAATTCTCCTCTTACCCTCCCTTCCCCCCCATAGAAAATTCCTACGAATTTTATCTAAAGAAAGAATCAAACCTTTTGGTAGCAGATGCATTGACATAGTGAACACTGGAAGACTGGACAGTACTACATTAAGGAGAGTAATCCTTCCACCAAAGGAGAAGAACCGATTTTTCCATGAACTCAATTTCTTCTCAAAGGTCTCAATCAAAGGTTTCCACATAGCAATGTTTTTACCACTACCTCCAATAGGCACCCCCAAATATTTGCAGGGGAATACTCCTTGCTTGCAGTTCAGAATGTGAGCCATTTTTGACATCCATTCATCTGATACATTAATGCCCATTAGTTGACTTTTCCCAAAATTAATCTTCAGTCCCGACACCAACTCAAATATTCTCATTATACTCTTCGCTACCCATATATTACCCTCCAAAGCTTTACCAAACAGAATTGAGTTATCAGCGAATTGTAAATGAGACCTCTCATACCCTTGTTGCTAATATTGTCACCTTCGAATATCCATGGTTGATTACTGAAGAAATAATGCCATTAAAACCTTTTGCAACCAATAAAAATAAGTAGGGAGAAAGTGGATCTCCTTGTCTTAGGCCTCTGTTCATTTTCACTTGTCTGGTAGTACTGCCATTGAGAAAACTGACACCTCTACTGATTTCAAACATTCGTTTATCCACCTTCTCCATTTAGGATCGAAGCCCATCCTCAACATCATGTAATCTAGGAACTCCCAACATACCTTGTCATATGCCTTCTCGAAGTCCAGTTTAAACACAAAGCTGGCCTTCTTGTTTCTTTTCGCTGCGTCAATTGTTTCATTGGAAATTGCAATGCTATCAACCATTTGCCTTCCTCTAATAAAAGCCATTTGACTTTCTCCAATGATGCTATCTAGAACCGAGCTGATTCTATTTGCTAGAAGCTTTGCGATCACCTTGTACATCACTTCGATTAAGAATATGGGCCTAAACTCCTCAATTTTTTGGGGTTATTAACTTTAGGTATCAACACAATGAAGGAACTGTTTGCTCCTTTGACCAATCTCCCACTTTGGTAAAAATCATTTACAAATCCCATCACATCACCTTTGATTAAGTCCCACATTTCCCTGATAAAATTGAAATTAAATCCATCCGGTCCCAGTGCTTTAGAACCTTCACAACTCCACACTGCTTGTTTGACTTCTTCTTTGTTGAATGGAGCAAGTAGCAAGAGGTTATCTTCAGCTGAGATCTTCTTGAATTCTAGTCCATCTAGGTGAGGACGTTGCCATCTTTCTTCTGTGAACAAGTTTTGAAAATAATTTGCCACACCTTCCTTAATTTCATCAACTTGTTCCATGTATTTGTCACCCACTTGTATGCCAACAATTTCATTTTGTCTCCTTCTTCCCTTAACACACCTATGAAAGAAACTCGTGTTGGCATCCCCATCTTTAATCCATGCCTTCCTGGATTTTGACGCCACATGCTCTCCTTTATTTTTTGGTGTTTCCATAAGTCCAGGAAATTATTTTTTCTTAACTGTACCACTTCTTCAGACAAAGAGCCACTTCACCTTTTAAATCAATAGCAGCAATGGACTCCTCATATCTTTTGATGTTAGAGTCTGTCTCCGAAACCATATTTCTACTCCATACTTTCAAAGCTTTCTTCGTTGCCTTTAACTTTTCCTTTAGTCGGTAACCATACCAACCTGAGGTTAATGTTGAGCTCCACACCTCTTCCACTATTTCTTTACACCCTGGTGAGTTAAGCCACACATCAAAGAAGCGGAATGGCTTAGGGCCCCAATCAATTGTAAGGTTTTTCATCAAAATTGGGCAATGATATGATTTTGCTCTCTTCAATCCCCACTGTTTAAGGTCACCCCATTTAAGACACCAATCCTCTGAGAGCAAGAACCTATCCAGCCTACTCATGACTTCTTCGTTTGGTTGGTACCATGTATATTTCCGGCCAATTAGAGGAAGATCAATCAGACCACATTCCCTAATAAATTCATCAAACTTTGCCATTTCCCTCATGTTAGATCTCCCTCCATTCCATTCATACTCACTTCTTATGGCATTAAAATCTCCCATTAAGCACCAACAACCACCTTCTTCCATCAACAGTTCTTTAATGTTGGACCACAAGACTCTTTTGCTAGACAAATCACAAGGTGCATATATGTTCAGAATATGTACCAGGATTTTTGAAACCCCCCAGAATCCGTGTACACCCACAAAACCCTCACCTTCAATTATACTCTCTTTTCAATACATCGTTATTCCTGATACATATTAACCCTCCCGATGCTCCTCTCGACAACTTTGCTACCTAATCAAAATTATCTGCCCCTCATATGGATTTACACAGCTGATAATCAACCACTTCTAACTTCGTTTCTTGAATAGACAAGAAATCAACTTTCTCTTTCACAACTAGCTCTCTAACTCCACTCTTGTTACCCCCCCCCCCCCCCAAACCTCTAATATTTATTAATAGAAAGATCATTTAAATATAGTACCACCATTCCCCTCAAGTACAGTGTTATTGACCTTAGATAACCTAAACAGCTCCCTATCATGATCCTCCATGCCTTCTAGTCTCTAGATCACCTCTCTTTCATTGCCACGGTCTCCCACTCCAATTTCCTTTGCAAATGCCCAAATCTTCTCTACAATACTAAGCTTTGTACCTTTGCGTAGGCTCTCATTCCTGTTTTCAATGCCACCATTGATGACTGACTCACCTGCAACTTGATTGTGGGATCCAGGAGAAAATTTCGACATTCTGTCCTTCATTTCCCGCTCTTTTGAAGCTCTCTTCCTCTCCTTCGACTTGGGCACCCGTTCCTATTTTCCTTCCTCCATATATACCGAACAACAAGATCTGCTTTTCTTCTTTCTGTTTCACTTTGGCTTCCTCTGTTTTCTGCCCATACATTCTTGCTCATGCCCCGATTCACTCTCAAAACCCTTCCAAAAGGAGAGCTCCAGCTCGGCGTTGTGGAGGTCGGTTGACACTATTATGAAATTTCCTTCTCATCCATCTTTCACAGATACATTCCCTATATTTGTATTCTTATTAAATACAGAATTTGGCCCAATACTCTCCACATGGCCATCCACTACCTCCTTGCTTAATCTGCTGTCTCCTATTTCAGGTGTGGCTTGTTTAGTAGGCCCATTGTTGTTATTGGCCCAAGTCTCACCTATCTCTACTGGGTTTAGCATTTCTAAAGGCCCAATGGATACCCTCATCCTACTCTTCTCCATATTTTGAGTGTTCTGTGCCTCTGAACTGTCCGGTACCACCTCCTTGTCAGCTGTAGGTATATTGGATTTTGTCAGCCCCATTAGGTAGTAGATTATCTCGGGAACCATCTGCATTAAATGAGACGTCATTCACGGCTGAATTTTGGTCTCCTTTTGAATTTTGGCTCTTTTGTTTCCAACGGTAATGTGGTTGTTCGTCCCCGATTTCGGCTTCCATCCCCTTCTCCTCCTCTACTTCCACGTCATTATCATCCTTCTTCTCGCCGGTTGTGTTCCAGTTGTTCTTTGAGTTGCCACCGCCCAGAAATGCATCATTTAATTCATCATCTAAACCATTGCCTAATGACCAAGATTCCGAACTATCATCGTCCGATCCACTGAGTTCCTTGAATACATGGTCTGATTTCATGGAAAATTTTCCATCGGTGGCTTCTTCCTCCATTCCTTTAATTGTGTATGGTTCATCATTGACCTTGATGCTTATGTTTTTGGATATGAAATCCATCTCTGAGGTAGAAATCAACATTCTTCCAATATCAAACCTCTGTTTCTTGCTAGTACTGTCATACCGCGTTATGAACTTCCCCCACTTTGTGCCGATTATGGCAAAAAATTTGGACCCCAAGCATGAACTAGAACCCCCTGGCACCGAAGCCAAACAAATCTCTCCCTTGCAACCATTGCTATATTCCATGGTTTGATATTTGAGAACCACTATCCCAACCATTCTGGAGCCATCTCTACGAGATCTTTGATCTCTTCCTTATATCCTCCTTCTAGTAAAACCAAGCACCCTCCCATTGCTCTTACTTTGCATGAGAAATAGCCTTCCATGAAGAATTTTTCTTGTAAAGTCGGGATTATCTCAACTGAGTGTGCCATCCCGACATAGCATCCTTGCAACCATGAGTACTCTTCCTCCTTCATGGTAAATTCGATACCATCACTAACCTGCTTCTTGTCTTTTACTCTCCAAATTTGCACTGGATTTCTATTAGGATTACTATTCTGTATCTGCCAATGTTCCTTCTCTCTCTTTACTTGCTTCCCATTCTCAATTGCTGTTCTTGTTTCTAGCTTTCCTTTCACCACTTCAGCATAAGTTCTCTGCACTCCTACTCCTTCTTTCTCTCTATGCCCTTGATATGAACTTTTGAGACTTTCTTTTCCTTTGAATCTTGGTCTGTTGACCCATAGTTTGAACTCCCCAACCTAGATTTGGTCCAGTTGATGCTCCAGTTCCCACTCGTTTCTTACATCTAAGATTCTGACGAACCCAAATCTACTCCCCTTTCTTAATTTCCTCAAAGGGCTGTAGATGTCCAGAATTCTTCCAAATTTACGAAAAGTCTGCCACATGCTTTCTTGTTTCCAGTCATCAGGGAAGTTAGTGAAGAAGAACACAGTGGCCTGGTTGGATACCCGACGATCATAACCCCAAATGTCTGGTCTCCTGGAACTGATCTCTCGTGCATTAATTCCTTCATACGCAGGTTGATTCTTTACTCTAGTTCTGAATCTCTCCCAGTGCTGTATTGTCCCTCTGCCGCATGATCCACCGCCGTCAAAGCACTCTCGCTCTAACCCTCTCATTTCTCTGGTCTCGTTTCCTAGTATAAGCTTGCTGTGCTTGTGACTCACAGGCTCTGACTATATGCCAACAAGGTATTGATCTAGGGATTAAGAACAATGAGATGTATTCAAAGGTCCAATTGTTAATAGCTTAAACTTTTTTGTTGCAGTTCAAATTTCTCAGTGCTTCAATCAGAGGAAAAAGGATAAATAAAAGAAATGTGGATCACTACTCTTGTGACACAATGGTTGATGTCCCAAGTCAAGTGCTTGATAACCTTTAAAACCCAAATTGAATTTTGACCTTTGATATTAATTATACTGACCTCATTCTTACCTCGAAATTATCAAGTTAAAAACAATGTAGAAGAACTGATAATAATAGTCTGTAATGAACTAATGAATTTCGACATGGATGTGGTGTTGACATATAATTTTGATGTCAACACCAAACAAAAGGGATATTCGACCATGTAAATCTATGCCTTTTAAGTTAAGATATTTATGGATTTAAGATACCTCTTGTACTCCGCATTTTTTCAATAAATATTACTTTTTCTGTCCAAAAAAAAAAAAAACTAACTAATTCCATTACTTTAATAAAAGAACTAATCATGGCAAGTAACATAATAATAAGAGTTGAGTTTTGTTTTATAAAGACTATAGTCTCCATAAGTATCAAAATTAATTAATTTAATTTCATATTATAATGATAATTGAGTATTGTTTTATGGAGACTCTAGTCTAATTAGTTAATTCTATTCAATGTGTTGACACTTCTGTCACAGAATTTCCCACGTGGATTTTGTTTGGCAGCTGTAGCTATATATAATTGTATGTTTTTTAATCTTTGAATACTAAAAATATATATAATATGATATTCAAACTTCACATTTATTCAACCTTTTCAAATTTCAAATTTTTTTTTGTAATTTAGTCCCTAAAATTTAAAAAAGTTTACACTCCAGTCCTACAACCTTTTCTTTTATGCATTCCAATTTTCTGCATAAACAAATAAAATTACTTAAATAAAAATGTTTAGTGCAAGTCCAAACTGTGCTAAACTGCACTAAACTAACTCTTGAATAAAGGGCGAGCTCTTGATGTTGGAATTGTCTCCCCATTCAAGAACTCAATCTAAAGTTAGCATTCTTTAATTCCTGACTCTTAACGGTAAGGCTAGAGTCCAATCTGAAGACAGTGTTCTTTAGTTTCAATTTTTGGTACCATGAGAATTGTGGGGTGCATCGAACTGTCACGGACTCAAGCCTACACTTATTTTCCAAAATCACACAAATCTCTTCCATCATGCTTCTCCTCAAATGGAATTTGGAGAAAACATTGCCCACAGTAAGAATTCAGCTTTTCAACGGGAAATTGTTCAATTTAATTGTAGAAAACACTAAAGCGGAATTTTCCCTAAAAATTTATCTCATCAGCCTGTATGTAAAAAAGCCCACCAAGCTCAGGCGGCCTGGGTTACTTTAGACTTTAGAGGTGTTGCTGGGGCTTGTGCCCTTTAATTGTCCTTCAATGCAGTGGGGGCCTCTATTTTTAAGTGAGCTTTCCTCCATAAAATTGGATTTCTTCTAGACGAAAACCAATTACGAAAAAAAAAATTGCATTCATGACTGAACAAAACTACATTAGCTACACTATTCCTTTAAACAGAAACTATGGCTACAGGGAGAGGATTACAACAACTACAAAAAAAAAAAAAAAAGTGGAGCTGGGTTCTGGGT